AAATAAGGGCATAGTCTCTTGCTCCAGTGCTGCCTAAAGTGAAGAAACCCCCATCCAATATGGCGGTGCTGCGCGATTCGCTTCTGCCCACATGTCTATGAAGAGAATTCTTCTTCTCTTAGTTTGTTTAAGATGTTATTTAGACAGTATCGCCATCGGCTGGACATTATATGTATCGCACATGATATATTCTGTGACAGAAAGAAACTACGGTAAATTTAAAAGAAGGTTGTTAAATTTTGTAATTGATAAGCTGTGCTCTCACACCTGTGATTGTAAATTGACCTGAGCATTTGTCAATAAAAGAAAGGGGTGGCGTCACATCCGGCACGTGGAGGGGATCAGCTGCTGGAGGAAGTACTCGAGAGCTGCTAACACTTGGCAGATTCTGTTTAAAGTTAATTGGTTTCAAAGGTGGTTTTGGCATAATCCGGATTGTGAGTGGATCAAGATGGCAAGTAGTAGTGGGGTTTTTTCGGAAGATGAGAATATGGATACAGGGTGGTCTGTGTTAGAAAACAGAAAAGGAGGAGGGGCAAGAGATAAAGGAAAAAGGGAATAACCACTGGGAAAAGATCTCTTGAGGATGAGGAAGAAAGAACTGAAATAAGAAAGAAAGCAATGACGGAAGACTTTAAAGTTATATTGAAGTTTCAGGTTGGACAGGATTTGTTTGGAGTGAGCCCTATTAGTTTATCTAACGGATTAAAGAAAACCATTGGAGATGTAGAACTAGCTAAAGTTTTAACAGATGGAAGCCTGCTTATCATTTGTAAAAATGTTGAACAAAAGAATAAGGATCTAAAATTACAAATGGTGTGTAAAAAAGAAGTTCTGGAAAGAAAGGTAGTTGGGGAAGAAAAATGAGTAAAAGGAGTAATATTAGGAATTCCTGTTGGAGAAAATCTGGATGAGCTAAAGAAAATAATCAAAGGAGGAGAAATTACAGGCATCAAAAGGTTACAGGCTTTTAGAAACGGGGAGAAAACTGATAGTACATCTGTAAAACATCTGATAGTACATCTGTAAAACATCTGATAGTACATCTGTAAAACATCTGATGGTACATCTGTAAAACATCTGATAGTACATCTGTAAAACATCTGATAGTACATCTGTACTACTGGAGTTTAAAGATAGGATTCTACCAGATAAAGTAATGATTGTTTACATGAGCTTTAATGTTCCACCATCACTCAGATGTTATAAATGTCAAAGATATGGACATACTGCAAACATCTGTAAAGGAAAACAGAGATGTGGTAGATNGTTTGAGAGAAAGATGTACTTTAATCCAGGGTATAGTTTAATCCAGGGTATAGTTTAATCCAGGGTATAGTTTAATCCTGGTTATACTTTAATCCAGGGTATAGTTTAATCCAGGGTATAGTTTAATCCAGGGTATAGTTTAATCCAGGGTATAGTTTAATCCAGGGTATAGGGTTGTGGAATGGTCTGGAAGATGATCTTAAAAATACTAGATCTATGTATATATTTAAGAGACAGATAAAAGCTAGTTTTTGAAGGTATATGGAAAAGTAAAATGTGAAGCTATAAGAATTGTTGTTTGACTCGATGTTTTTATTTTTAGTTAGTATTGTTTTGTAAATTATGTTTTCTTTGAATGTATTCTGGGGATAAAAGGGTCAGACGTTATAAGATTTATTCTTCTGCTACCTTTCATTTTATTTTGATTTTTGATTTGTGTATTTTCTTTGTTTATTTTTTATTGTATATAGTTGTTTTTTAATGAAATGAATAAAAATTTTAATTGAATTGAATTGAATTTTAAAGAGTACCCTCTGGGCTTGGGTCTCTCTGACCAACACAGGGTCACTAGAACGCATTAAACCACAAATAGTACAAATTTTTTCACAATTCTCCCCTAACCCTTTGACTCCTGTGGTGTCACAACGTGTGCTTGTGTTGTTATAGGGTTTTGTAGTGCACCACTTGAACACTTCATGATGTGTTCAAGTACAATTTCTAAGTGTCACTATCCTCACTGAGGTGGTGGTTGCTCTGAAAAACCTGAAGGTTAAATATCTCATTTAGGTTATCTTAGACAATTTTTATTAATGTGTTGTGTTTTGTTGTCATCACAAAGTGAAATATTAGCGACACATTAAGTTTTGTTCCTGGTAAAACGTCAGGTTGGATGATTGAATAAATGCTCTTAATGCTGAGTTGGTGTTTGAACCATCAATGAAAGGAAACATTGGTTTGTTTCCTGCTGTGACCACAGAACGTCTGTAAACAGGTCAGAATAGCTACAGTAGCTGAACATGTGAGGACTGCACTCACACACAGACACGTTGGAACTGAGGCCTGTAATGAATTCACCAGCTCACCACTTCCTTATCACTCAGACAAAACAAACATCTACTTTCCACACATTCTGTGAGACCACAAAGAACCAAAACAGTGAAATAATAATAATAATGTAATAATGTACTTTATTGTTGATGTGAATATGTTGTCATTAAAACATTGTTTAGCCTTTTAGTGTCAGGAAGATAACGTCTCACAAATATATTTAGTGGTTAACATGGAGCAGTGGAGTGCACCACAATATGTCACCAGTATTATCACAAGCCTTCCACACACAGAACAATCCACACACACTGAAACACACTTTTGCTGTTCCCCCTTTTACAGGTTCATGAACAAGCACTCACATCATACTGCACACAAGCTAGCACCACATACAGTATCTAAAGATGGAAATACTTCAAATTACAGCCAGCCTGCTAAAGCCATGATTCCAGCATGAATGGATATCTTTTGGTTGATAACACAATATTGACTTTTTGTTCAGCAAACAGGCCTCTTGCATCACAAGTCTGGTGTTCTGCTTCTGGTTTACGCAATAACTGCAGTAACAGCTCACACAAATCCTTGCTCTGCGTTTGTGTGTGCACTTTGTGCACGCTGGTCCAAAGGCTCAATAAATTAGATCATTTATATTTTTATATTAGACAGACAGACAAATATAAACCAAGAGTAAAATAATAGTGAGGGTTCGACTCCCAGGACCAACAGACTTTATCAGGACAGGGATTTGTGTTTCAGTACATGCTGCCTCGTGTCATCTTTACCTCAGAGCTGAAACCATTATCATCTGTGGCCCAAAGGCAAAGGCACAACATGTTTGCCCTCTGTGTGTGTGTCTGTGTGTATGTCTGTGTGTGTGTGTGTCTGTCTGCATGTGTGTGTGTGTATGCCTGTCTGCATGTGTGTGTCTGTGTGTCTATTTAAAAATATCTCACAAAAATAGGCTATTTCTCTATTTTGAAGTTCATAGATGGATCATAGTTCTTGCCAGTGTTGTATAAAGTACCTCAAAGTGATACTNAATCAACGTAATATAACATTAGAAAAGTTGATTCCTTTTTATAAATTGTTCAGAACAAGCAAAAAATAAAACTGAAAAAATTAAATCATTGTGAAGGCAGCCACAAAATCTTTTAATGTCAAAGATTTATCTTGGGAAAAAAATCATGAGGAACTTAGACAAGGTGAAGGGTCATCTGAAACTGAAGTTTCTCAAACCRTCACATAATTCTAATATTACAGTGGAACGCTCGCAGTCTGTTAGCAAATGGTAAGGAATTTAAAGGTTTCATTAGTAATTTAAATACAAAACCAGACATAATATGCATTCAAGAAACATGGCTCAAACTAACATTGCAGTTTAGTGTTCATGGTTACTCAATTATACGTAAAGATAGGATGAATGGGAATGGAGGAGGTTGTGCCATATTCATAAAAGAAAATATAAAATTTATACAGATCCAAATATTATCTGATTTAGAGCTTACTGCTGTAGAAATTTGGACAAAACATGGGAATATTAAAATAATAAATTATTACAGTCCTTGTAAAAAATTAGAGAAATTAAAACTTGAAACAATCCTAGGACACTGGAAAGGGAAAATTGTTTGGTGTGGGGACTTCAATGCACATAGGTCTTTATGGGGAGATCAAGATGATTACAATGGAGGGATTTTGGAAGAGGTGATTGAAGATAAAGAACTGGTCATTTTAAACAATGGAGTAGGCATGGGGTAAGGAATCTGCTACTGATCTGACCTTGGTTTCTCAATCTATCGCTGATAAATGCAATTGGAGAGTGTTTAAAGAGAGTACAATGGGGAGTGATCATYATCTGATTTTTGTCAAYATAGATTTACAKRTAGAGGAAGGCCAGGTAGAGACTGAGGGAAGATGGAAATTTGGGAAAGCAAATTGGGATAAATTTAAAGTGATGAGTGAGATTAATATGGAAAATGTAGATATAAATAAACCAGTAAATGAATTAAATTCAGAAATTAGCAAATGTCTTATTAATGCAGCCAAAACATTCATTCCTAGAAGTAAGGGTATAAAAAAGAAGAAGATAGTTCCTTGGTGGACACCAGAATGTACAATAGCAATTAAACAGAGAAATAATAATAAAAGGAAACAGGCAGAAGTCAGGTAAACTATAAGAAATGCTAAAAGGGATTATTGGAGGAAATATTGTGAATCTTTGGGGAAAAACGCTGCATTAAACAGAATTTGGAATACTATTAAAAAATGGCTGGAAATTCAAAAGAATATTTTTTTCCCAGTTATAAAAGATAATGGGAAAATG